TTAACCTTTTTACCACCAGTTCTTTATTTTCATCACAAATTATTAAAATTGTCCTATTTTTAGTCTGCTCTTTCTTTCAGAAGATTGACATAAAATTTTCAAGTTTTTTGAGTAAAAACTGAAAATGGACTAAAATTGTTGTTTAATGGCTCCAAAAATTTGGGTTAATTTCCAGAGATTTTTAAGAATATTACAACACAATTTCACAAAATAATCCTGTTCATAGTCAACTTTCTTCAGAAGTTTGGGATAAAAAATGTTTGGAGTAAAGTAAAAATTGACTTAAATTTTGTCCGTTGGCTCCAAAATTAGGGTTTATATTCAGAGATATTGAAGAATGTAAGAAAAAAGAGCAGACAAATTTGGTCAAGAAAGTCGGGTGAAAAAAAAAGTTTCATGGTTCTCTTGATCGCTCTTGAATATTGTCAGACATTTGTGTCCATTTATTGGAGGTAAACATTCAATAAATCTGTTCGGTTCACTCTCCAAGAAAAAAAATATTATGTTTTGTGTTTGTTTATTGAATATAACTAAATTGCGTTTACAGGGTGTGGTCATTGTAAAAAAGCTAAACCAGAGTTCACGTCGGCGGCCGAAACCTTTAAAGACAATAATAAGGTAAGATTTTGTACATTCATGTTTTGCATAGCTGTAATAATAGCCATGTTTGTAAGGAATTGTGCGCCCTCTATCTGCACAATACAGAGAGTCAAGATGGCGGTCAATAATGGCATTGCATCAATAACTGTAACAGACATTGAAGGGCGGTGGTTGTCACGTCGTGTCCTGTTGGATATGGGACTCATAGCGACATATACAACACGTGTAAACTACATTGTTTGTTTAAATGAAAATCCAAGACAACCACCACCCTTTAATATATTATTTCAAAATATTTTAAATACTTTATGTTGAAAACTCAAAATTATTATACAATGGTATCACCCGAATAATGTGGTTTGTATGTTTGACATGACACATTTCCATTATTGATCACTGAGGGCGCCATCAATTACTTTGCTGCTTCCCGGCCTCCTTTGCAAATGGCAAGCAGAACGCAGAGAAGTAATTGCCATTTTGTTCCACTGGGCCAGGATACTAGTCCAAAGGCATGTGACTGAGTGACGTAATTTGAAAACATTCCAAGTCCCGTTCTGTGATATTGCAATGATGTCCATTCAATCATTACACCTGTTTAGACTTAATATTTAAGGTGGTTTTAACATTTCTCACTATTTTTGTGAAAAGTGATAACAAAAAAACAGTTTTATATTCACAAGACAAAACAATTGAGAGCCGATTTTCCTTTTCTATTGACATTGATGGTAGTTACATAATTTGTGTGCTGTAAAGTATTTTATGAAAAAAATCGTCTCGCCGTCCAATTTTCAAAAAAAGTGTGACCAGCAACAACCCCCCCCCCCTCTACAAGACCTTATTTTTTCTCCATAAATCCAACCTTCAGATAGATATTCAGGTATTTTTTTTTTCATTTGATATTTCAGGTTGCCTATGCTGCCGTGGATTGCACAGCTGAAACCGAAATTTGTTCCACTTATGATGTCTCTGGATATCCAACCTTAAAATACTTCAATTACGGCAAAAATCCCCAAGCCTACATGGGAGGAAGAACAGTGAGTATTTAAAGTGTATGGCTACCCACAATGCATCATTCAATATGGCTGCATCAAATGCAATATTAGAAATACAAGTTTTTCAAAATGGCTACCCAGAATGCATTATTTCTCTCGATATCCAACCTTAAAATACTTCAATTACGGCAAAAATCCACAAGCCTACATGGGAGGAAGAACAGTGAGTATTTAAAGTGTATGGCTACCCACAATGCATCATTCAATATGGCTACCCATAATGCATCATTCAATATGGCTGCCTCAAATGCAATATTGGAAATGGCTTCCCAGAATGTTTTTTCAAAATGGCTACCCAGAATGCACTATTTCTCTTGATATCCAACCTTAAAATACTTCAATTATGGCAAAAATCCTACATGGGAGGAAGAACAGTGAGTATTTAAAGTGTATGGCTACCCACAATGCATCATTCAATATGGCTGCCTCAAATGCAATACTAGTATTAGAAATACAAGTTTTTCAAAATGGCTACCCAGAATGCACTATTTCTTTCGATATCCAACCTCCTAATACCTCATAATAAGGATTATTAACTGGATGGTGACTGATCTTCAAACACAATCAGCTGAGATTTACTTTATTAGAAATGTTTTGTCACTTAAATTGTTGTCATAATTAGTTTACCTGCACGTTTTTTGTTTCCTCCAGGAACAAGACTTCATAGCCTTTATGAATGACCCAACCAATCCCAGCCCAGCGCCCAAAGAACCCCAAGAAGATTTTTTCGAGGAAATTGATGGCGGAGAAAATGTCTACCAACTAACTGAAAGCAGTTTTGATACTTTTGTAAAAGAACGCTCCTCAGTGCTGGTCATGTTTTACGCACCGTGTAAGTATATTGAAAGGTCACACATCCTGGTACTTTTGACACATCTTGTTGAGTGATAAAATTATCCAAATTTTTGTATCCCCTGAAGTGTCAACAGCTGTGAATTTGAAAAAAAAATTAGTTTGAATATAACCACATAAAGATGCCAACATGTTACTGAAATATTGTTTTAGACCCAATTGCATTGGTAAAATATCACATAAAATGGGATGGTCCAGTCAATATGGCCACCCAGAATGCATCATTCAATATGGCCACCCAGAATGCAGCATTCAATATGGCCACCCAGAATGCAGCATTCAATATGGCCACCCAGAATGCATCATTCAATATGGCCACCCAGAATGCAGCATTCAATGTGGTGACCTAGAATTTATTATTCTTAGCAGTTAGCCAACTCCAAGAATTGAAATACTCTCATTTCATACCAATTTATGATTTGCAATTTTCATTGTTTAAGAATTTATATTATTTCTACTTGAACTGAGCATTTATTTTGTCTATTCTCGTATATTAGGGTGTGGTCACTGTAAGAAGTCTAAACCTGATTTTGCAGCGGCTGCCACACAGCTTGATGAAGAAGGTGTAAGTACTTGTATTATTTGGAAGATTCTCATAAAACAACATTTTATGTTTAAGTCTGCCCTGCCCTCTCTCCCTGAGCTAAATTTTTATTGTGTGAATAATCAACAGTTTCAACAATTTTATACTTCAGCCAGTATGTAGCTGGCAATGCCTGGTGAGGGAGTGCAGCCGAGTAGTTTATGTTCGGAGTCAATTTATTAGTTCACGTACAAGTTGAGTGGAATTCAAGATGGTGCCCAGTACGATTTGTGTGTTGCCAATGATCAAAATGACTTAAAACACTATTTGAAGTTGCCAAAAAATAATGGCCTTATCAATGAGCAACATTCTAAAATGTATGTACGGAGGGTTGTCTTTGATGTGTGTTTTTTTTTTTGACCATTTCAATATCAATCAAAATGTGCAATTGAAGTTCATTAAATTTAGCCCCCCCCCCCCCTAAATAATGAAAAAAAAACAATGCAAGCTTCTCCAATGCTTTCATTTTCTTGGACGACAATGAAGAAAACAAACATGGAATGTAAACTGAACTAAGGGATTGACCTTTAAAAACACTCAGGAAAATCTAACGTGGAAACATTTAATTCCCACATACGCTTGATTTGGGGAAAGCGAAACAAAGTTAAAATAAATGTCGTCTTGTAAGACTGTTAACATTAATTCACCTTTTGCTTTCTTTAAAAACTTTGAAAAGCTACTACTAAAAGACTTCATTGTGGTCAATGGATGTTGTTATTACTAATTAGGTTAAAAAGTGCCTGTGAAATGGCTGCTATTTTCAAGCCTAAAATTATCGTTTGATACATAAATATTATTAATTTTTATGTTTCTAAGCATGAATTATTTTTTTAAGTGAAAAAATGTGTTTTAAACTCAGTCTACGGCAACTTTATTTTTTGTGTATTTTAAAACCAGGCTCCTCATTAGCTTCTCATTTGCATACAGAAATTCCCCTTGTGACATCAGAAGGGGAAGTCGCATGGCAGCTTGCATTGCCGATACGTGTAAATAAGACAAATTTCTTGTGCAGTTTTCTCGTCTTTGACTAAATTGTCACTTATGTACTTGTTCGTCGAGGAAGAATGGACCATAATGAACACATAGTATCAATTTTTGTTGCATGGGGTTGAGTTAGATGCAAAATATGTCCGTTCTGGTGTAGCTGGTCACCGTGATCGTCACCGACACCGGCGCACGTTTGTACACTGTCGCTGAACAAAATAGAATTTGACGTCGGAATTATCTCGTTGTTTAGCAGGTTACTAGGCACGTCACTACACTGTTTTATTTCATCGATCGTCTGAGTAAAACTTTCAAAATTAAAATAAAAGAGAACATATTCTGACATTCTAAACATTAGACTATAGTGATCACTATAAAATAATTAAAAAAACGACAAATCACAGTTACTAAATAAATGACAGCCGCGTGGAAATAAATTGACTTTTTGTTGAAATAGGTGAACGCGTCGGGTCACGACGAGGGCAAGTGCGTTAAAAGCGGATAACAAAAATAATCGAGATCGACACACATACAATTAATTCAGAGTGGATTCGAGTTAGCGTGATCCATGGCGTGATTGTCATAATTATGACATCATATTAAAACTTCATTTGGTGGAAACACGTCGACCAAGCCCGAATTATTATTTCATAAATTATTACGTAGATCAAGCTGCAAGCATGGAGGTAAAAAAAGAACAGAGGTCTGAATTCGACATTCAACACCAATCACCAAACAATTCAGAAACTTTTAGCCTTCGAAAATGAAAACAATTAGAAGTGTGTAAGGGCTGTGTAATTTCCTGTTTGTCCGATGCTTCGTTTTCGTGTCACTGTCAAAATTATTGCTACCTTTTACCTAACAGGGACTAAACGATAATCACGATCGCAAACACTTACCGGACGTCTCTCTCTCTCTCTTCTAAAATCCGCCTTGGTGATCATGGGCTGGTCCAGAATCTATTTCTTTCAAAAGTGTTGCGCCAGGTTTACGTTAAGTGGCTTTCTTCCACTGATGTCGCACCTTCGGATCGATTAGAAACGTGTGAATACATACACTATGACTATACATTTCACTGCAACTGCCCACAACACAACGCAACAACTAAAAACTCTCTCTCAAAAAAAAAAAAGAAAATAGACAAAAAAAAAAAAAAAAAAAAAAAAAAACGCCGACCGAAAAATGTATATCGTTTAAAACTATGCTGAATGACCAGTGTTATTACGGCTCGGGGGTATGACTTCCTCTCACATTTTTGTCATTTGGTGGCGCACTTTCGGCGAGAGTCGGAAATCCGGAAACAGTCAACCGTTTCAGGATAGGTGGGCGTGGCTACAGCACGAGAAATATCCCAAATTTACTTGAATATGAGTAATCATTTTCAGCAAAAAATATCAATAACTGAGGGTGGGCATTGCACAGGCACTTTAAAGCAGGAGGGTTGTCATCTGCATACATACGGGAATTGATTTCCAAGTGACGATTAACAACACAAGCTAAAAGCACAAAGGCTCATGGGTAGACGCTTTTTTGTAAACGGTGACACGCTATGGCCATCTGACGCATACGCAGGTGACGACTCCCCCGCTTTAATTGATTTCATTAGCAATAATAACATCCAGTGACGCTTTGAATTGCATCGTGGGATATTTGCGTCAATAGAAGGTGCTTAGTTGCGGAAGAATTTAAATATATATACTGCACGTATGTGCAATGCATTATGGGAAATAACTTCAAATTTTCCACTACTGAGCATGTTACTGCACATATATGCAATGCATTATGGGAAATGAACTTCAAGTTTTTCACAACTGAAAGGTATATTTTTAGTCACTCATTGTTCAAATCTTTTTTTAAATATTTTGCAACTGAACAGTGCCCTCTATTGACAAAATTGATGAAGGCTAAATAATTTGTGTGCTGTAAAATGTATTAATAAAAAAATCATCTCACTGTCCAATTTTCGAAAAAAGTTTGACTAGAAACATTTTTTTTCCCCAAGACCTTATGTTTTATGAACTTGGATGATTCTACTGGTAGGTCATATGTTGGACCCTTCTCTTAAACCATTCGCCCAACCAGAGTGTCCAAGCCTATGGCAATTAACATTAAAAAATCACACTCTAAATCATTCGACCAATCAGAGTAGCCCTAGCATATGGCAGGGAACATAAAACAAAATGGTAGGATGTTGAATTGATGCATTTTATTTCATTGTTAGATTGATGCTGCCCTTGCTGCTGTTGATGCCACGGTAGAAAAAGGTTTACAGAATAGATTTGATGTTACAGGATTCCCAAAATGTAAGTCAATTTTTGCATTTCTGAAGATCTTGTTGTTTGAAAAAACCACCAATTATTACCACTAGTTTTGTATATCTTTATATTTATCAGTATATTTAGTATTTCTAGTTTTATTCAGTATTTTTATTCATCAGTTTTTAACAGAATTTTCATTTTTGGGAAAAAAGTTCAAACAATTCAGACTCATGAATATTCATAAACTGAACACACACCACCATGAATATTCATGAACTGAACACACACCACCATGAATATTCATGAACTGAACACACACCATCATGAATATTCATGAACACACACACCATCATGAATATTCATAAGCTGAATACATCAATCATTTCATTCCAATAAAAGTAACTTTGTGCCAGAACTTTTTCCAGGTAGAAATTACTGACTAAACAATGAAAGCTTGAGTAAAGAATGTGATATTGTGGTCTTCTGTTCATTATTTTCAAGTAATGAAATTTTTCTTTTTTTTTTCTTCTCTCTCTTTATAATCTGCTTCTGATTTCTCTCCACAGTCAAGTATTTCAGGTAAGATACATTTTACCATTCTCTGTGAATGTCCATAATCTTATGCGATCATTGAACTTTTGCCCAACAATTGTACAAAATAAATTAGTGTTTATTGTCACATGATTTATTATCAACTTCCAAATTCCATTTGTTTTTTTTTCATATAACAATGACATATGTGTATTGTTTTTTTCTACAAACATCTAATATATTTCAAGAACATACTTCTATTGTTTTTCAAAGAACAATGACAAAATCTTATTATTTTTCATATATCGATGACGTTTCTATTATTTATCATTTAAAAATGACACTCCTTTTGGTTTTTTATATAGCAAGAAAGCTTCTATTGTTTTTTTTTTATGTAACAATGAAAATTCTTTTGTTTTTTTCTGGTAATGTTGAAATACTTTTATTGTTTCCTTTAGAAATGGTGCCTTTGCATTTGATTATAGTTCAAAGCGAGACACGCAATCATTTGTTGAGTTCATGAAGGAGTAAGTACATGCATCCAAATTACACATTGAGGGCGTTCTACATTGTGACTCACCAAATCTTGTGAATACTGTAAACATTTTGAAATAGCTACATATTATTTTAGCGAATTTGACCCAATGCATGAATTAACTGAATCTTAATTTAGTTAAAGTGTCAACAATCTCATTGTGAGAATATACTTTATTCTCAATTAGCGACATCTTAATTTAATGAAATTGTGGATTTAGCTAAATTAGCTAAAATAACATGCTAGCTAAAAAGACAGTATATTCCATTTGCATAGCAACAGTGTTTTTTCATATGCTAGTTGCAGCTGCTTAGCAGCACTGGTTTTTAATGTCTCTAATTTTTAACCTATTCGATTGTCATTATTACTTAAAAAAAAATTTTTTTCGCACATTTTTTAGTTTTGCTGCCAACTTATAGTCTGCTTCTCCTTTTTCCATGAAAAAGTGAAAATTTTAAATTTTTTGATCAAAAATTCGAAGCAATGTCATATTTTGTCACTTTTCTCTAAAAATTAAGATTGAATTCAGGGAAAATTGCAGAAAATGTGAGCAAATTTACCCCAATTTAATCAGAAAAAAAAATTGGCACTATTAATCTTTCCACCACCAGACCTTCTCGCCCAAATTTTTCTGCATTTTTTTTTCTTATATCTTTCAGTATTTCTGAAAATTCACTCTAATTTTGAAGTTTTCAGTTTTTATTCAAAAAATGTGTCTATGTTTATCCAAATCTTCTGATGGAAAGTGCAGGCTATAAACAGAATTTGTGATGAAAAGAGGAAACTGGTGTTGAAAAGGTTAATATAGTATGAATATTTTTATTTTTTCCTACAGTCCTAAGGTAACTCCTGCACCACCACCAGAACCGAAATGGAGTGAAATACCAAACAACATCCATCATTTGACGACTGACAACTTTGACACATTTGTGACCATCAAGGAACATGTTTTAGTTATGTTTTATGCCCCATGGTGCGGTCACTGTAAAGCCGCCAAACCGGCGTACTCCACCACCGCCGACAATTTCAAGGACGATCCTACAAAATACTTAGCTGCTGTTGACTGTACAGAGAACACTGGTAAGTGTCTCGTTTCTGTGATCCACTGTTTGTCTTTAACAAAAAAATATATTTTACGCAGTCATATTTTGATTCTGAGTGATTAATTTTAACACCAAATTGTGAAATTGTTACCAATTTGATACAAATGCTCAGTTCAAATTCAATTAAACTATGTTGAAGTTCCATTTGCAACAGTCAGTCGGTAACTCTTTTACTCTTTAGAACAGTATTGTTCAATCCTAACATAATACCTTTAATATATCTAAAAAAATTTAGTGGTAAAAAATTTGGTATTAAAAATACTTCTCAAAATTTGG